AACAGCACAACAGTCGAGGTGAATATGAGTATGAAGGGCCCAGAGGATGATCAGAGGGATGGAGCACCTCTCCTAGAATGAAAGGATGGGAGAATTGGGATTGTCCAGCCTGGAGAGCAGAAGCTTTGGGGTGACCTAATTGTGACCTTCCAGTCACAATTCCCTTGAAGGGAGTCTGCAAGAAAAATGGAGAGAGACTCTTTACAAGGGCCTGGAGTGCCAGGGCAAGAGGGAATGGCTTCCCACTGCCAGAGGGCAAGGGGAGGTGGGATATTGGAAAGGAATTTCTCTCTGTGAGGGTGGGCAGGCCCTGGCACAGGGTGCCCAGAGAAGCTGTGGCTGCTCCATCCCTGGAAGTGTCCAAGGCCAGGTTGGAGGGGGCTTGGAGCAGCCTGGGATAGTGGAAGGTGTCCCTGCCCATGGCAGTAGGGTGGAAATGGATGAGCTTTAAGGTCCCTTCCAACCCAAAACATTCCAGGATTCCATGATAATATAATGGAAAGTAAATCTTGTTTGTTTAAAGCTTTCATCAGCTGGCTCAGTGTCCCCTCATCACTGCCTTTGGGAAAGGGAGCTGGTTGTTTCCTTGGAGCTCTGTTCCTTTATCCAGCTGAACAAGGAGCACACGGGGGCTCCAGGACACACCTCTGCTCCCTCACCACGAGGAAATGGATATTATTCCTAACCCTGTGCGATACAGGTTGCTCTTTATTTTGGCACAGCACAGAGCCAGACACTGACAGGTATTTCTTTCTTCCAAGCATGTTTACACATGTCCCTCTTCATTAAAACATCCGAAGAAGCAGCAGAGCTACAAAGCCAATTGTTCCCCATTTCTGTTGCTAACATTATGCTGCTGCAGCATGAAACTGGTGCTCCCAGAGTGGGGCTCATTAAGTTTGGTGCTGCACAAAGATACAATCAATTGCAGCTCCTGTTCCAGAGCCTTGGAAAGGCTCAAAGTCAGGGGAATCATTCTTCCAGCCTCAATTCAAACTGTTGAAAAAGAACAGCAGCTACAATCCCTGCAAAAATCTGTTTATCTGGTAAATACGTGGGTGGTTATTGGCAATTTTACCAATGATCATCTTCAGGTTAATTATCCTCATACATATTGATCAGGTAGAGTTCAAGCCTGAGAAAATGGCATCTTTCTTAGGCACAGCTTCGGGAGATGCCGGAAAATGTATTCTGAAAGGTGGTTAACACCATTGCTGGAGATTCTGCTGTGAAACTTTCCCCTGTCTAGCTGCAGAGACATCTTGACACATGCAACTCCGTGTGAGAATAAATACGTGCAAAATGAGCTTGGAGAGTTGCTGGGAAAGGAGGAGAAATGTTCTTTGCCTGTCAGAGCTCAGTGTTTGAATCTCCCTGGAGCACAGAGCTCGAATCTACAGCCCCCCACCTGTTTGTTTGGATCCATTTTGGGAATACAGGTTGCTTTTAATAGGGAAATTTGGAGGGAGAGAGCCAGCCCTTGTTTTCCTCTTGTTGATGCAGGGGTATATGGATACCTCTGTGCCCCAAGATCCTTTTGGAGCTGGGGCTGTAACCCAGGAACCTCGTGGGGAGCAGAAGCAGCTCTTGGGCTTGAAGAAGTCTGGGCTGGGATGGTCAAGGATGGAGGAGAGTTTGTTTATTGGCAGTGCTGAGTGCCCTCTGAGGTTCTGGGGGAGAGCAGTGAGGCCCGGCCTCAGATCAAATCAAGGTTTGCTCCAACCTGCTCCATCTCTCCAGTGAGAACAAAGCTCCATGCACAGGATCTGCAGCTGAACGTTGGGCTTGTTGAGGCAGTGTCTAAGGGCTGGGCTCGGTGTCGGTGTGGGGAGCAGATCGAGCGGGCTCTGCTCCAGCTCTGCTCGCACCTTCCACGCAGACGCATCCCCGGGCGCTCTGCGAGGGGGGAACGCGCCGCCCCAGCTCTGGGAACTGCTCTTTGTTTCCCTTCACCCCATCTATTTCCTTCAGCCCAGGCGGTTTCTTTTATTAAGTAGATTATATGTTTGGCTCAATAGGAGCTTTTCTTCCCGAAGAAAAAAAGAATGCTGTTGGCATGAAAAATCCTTTTATCCACTCCTGTCTCCTGCTTTGCCCCGGCTGCTCTTGAGAGCACCCAAGAGATACCAGCGGGGGGCTCTGCTTCCCTGGCCACCTTCTGTCCCCCACCCAAGGGCAAACAACAGTTGCTTTTTCCTGGCTTCTCCTAAGTTTCTGATAGAAGAATTTGCCTTTCTGGTTCACCAGACTGGAGTTACTGGACCCACATGAGTTGCTCTGTAATTCTCTTCTTTGCCAGGAGCTTCCCAGTGAGCCCTGGTGCAGACAAGCCTTTTCTCCCTGGCACACACAGAAAATTGGAGAGTTCCTCCCTGCAGCTTAGAGATTCTGGCCAGCAATACCTGGAAAGCCCCTCAAGGGTCTCTGATGAGAGGTGGAGAGAAGGACGCTCATGTGCTGAAGGCTGCATTCTCTTTGTTCCCACTGCTCTCCAACTGTGGGGATTTTTGAGGTGCAAACATAAGAATTAAAGTTGAAAAAGAGCAGTTGTTTCAGAGGGGGAATGGGGTGAGGTGAAGCCGTGGGGCATCCCCCTCCTTAGCAGGAAATTTTGGCTTTCTGCACAGAGCAGATAAGGATCTTTCTCTGTCTCCAAGATGGGGCTCTGGTATCATACCTTGCAGGTAAACTGATGTTTTTTTGTTTTTTAATCCTACAAATGAGACTGAGCAGACACGAACCTGCTTCTCTGCTTTCCCTCTCAAAGGCATGCTCAATTTCAGGCCAGATCTTCACTCAGAAGTTTACAAAACCAGTTTTATTAGTGCATTGAAGTGTTTTGTTTGCTTTGGAGCTTCTGGAAGCAAAACTGCCACAGCCAAAATCTTGGGATTGAGACCTCAAAAATGAGTCTAAGAGGAACAAAGTTCAGTTTTGTTGTATCTAAATCAAACTGAAAAGAACCTACACAGTGAAATATGTGTGGGTTAAATGTTTTTAATTTGTACCTCGAGCTTTTGATAAGTAATAAGGGAGATGCTTTAAAAGACCATTTCCTTTTAAGTAGACATGAAGGCAGGAATGTGCCCTGGCTGCTCTTTGCCATCTCAGATTTTCATAAAATCTCCTTTATCGCCAACCTTTGTTCCCCCAAGTGTATGTATTTTTCAGAATTGTCTTTTCTGCACTCTGCTGACCATGGGAAGACACTGATCTTGGAGCGGTTTGAAGTGAATGTTAGTGGAGCGGTTTTTTTCCTTTTATTATAACATTTCCTCTCAAAATCTTCAGAATCTATGGACATTCTCCACCCTTCTCAACACAGATCAGTCTGAGAGTGTTCCTTGTCTGTTTTCTGTCCTCTGTTCCCTTTCACTGGCCTGTGCTGAGCACCTGAAGCTCCGTTTGCTCATTTGATGCTTTTTAAAGGTGTCTCACTCAATCGCTCTTCAGCTTTTAATCACAGAGTTACAGAATCATGAAATAACCTGAGCTGGAAAGGGCCCATCAGGATCATCCAGTCCAGCTCCCGGTCCTGTGCAGACACCCCAAAATCCCACCCTGTGCTTCCCTGTGAGCAATGCCCAAAGGCTTCTGGAGCTCTGGCAGCCTCAGGGCTGTGACCATTCCCTGGGGAGCCTGGGCAGTGCCCAGCACCCTCTGGGGGAAGAACTTCTCCCTGATACCCATCCTAAACCTCTCCTGACACAGCTCCATACATTCCCTTGGCTCTTGTCACTGGCTTTTCACTGGAGTTTTGAATCTGTTGATTCCAAAGTAACCAACAACCACATTCAGCCCATCTGAAACAGCTCACAACAACAGCTGGAAAAGGAGGAGCAGCGACCAGAGAGAATTAAGTGAATAGTAATGCAATTACCCTGATTGATTTACCCAGGTCTCTGGGATAAGAGCTAATGGGTGTCTTCCTCCTAAACCAGCCCTGAGTAAATCAGGACCAGCTTGTTTTTCATTGAGCTTAGGGTAACATGGCCCCACACACAAGTGTTGAGGGTGACTTTGTGTGTGACTTTACACTGAGAGGATTTAGATCAGCCTGGGCAGAGTCAGCTGTGGCGTTTGTATCTTTTAAAACCTTTCTTCACACCCTCCCTACCTGAAAGCCCATTTCTGCAGCAGGTAAGGACATGTTTTGGATTCCCTCTGGGAAGGCTGGGAGAGTTGATGAAAGCTGGTGAAAACCCAGCGTGCTGCTAAACAAGCCCCACCCTTCTTCTTGACATTGTTGGATTCCTCTTTGTTCCCAAGGATGGAAAGGCCTGGGGATCTGCTTACAGTTTTTCAGGCAGTTTGAGAAAAGTACAGTGACAGCTGGGAGGTGAAAAAATGTGGGAATCTGCCTCAGAGTTTCTCCTTCTCTTTATCCAAATAATCTTCGTGGAGAGCAGGCAAAAAGCCAGGAATGTATTTGACCCAAGGTAGTGTCTCGGATCAGGAAGGCAGTTATTAAATAAGTGGCTGATCTGGCTGGGTGTAGGACGCTTGGCTCGTGCAGTCGGTTGGGATTGGGTTTGGTTTGGCATCTGCCAGCTGCTCCTTGTCTCCGTGAGCCAGGGTGGTCATCCCTGCCCCAGCCTGGGTTAGGCAGCTCCAGGGAGCCTGGACAGCCAGCCCAGGTGGAATCAGGTCAGTCAGTTTGAGTAATTGTTGGTTTGGGGTTGAGTCTGACCCGAGGTTGGGCTGGGAGTGGATCTCGCTCGGATCTCGCCCGGTTTGCAGGGATGACTTGGGTCGTGGCTGGTGGTGATTGCAACAGGGGCAGGCAAAGGGCTGCCTGGACAGGCACCTCCTGGAGAGGCTCCTCTGCCTCCACGGCCTGTTTCATGCTGAAATTGGATTCTTGCAGGTCTGGAATACTGAGTATGACTCGTGTTATTCGCAGAGCGGGTTCTTCCAGAGCCTGAGAATGGCCCTTCTGAAATGGAGAATTTAAAGAAGGTTTCCTCTTGTTTGAGCTTTTGCTCTCTGTGGGTTTTAAAGAGTTGATCTTGTTTTGATTTCAGCTTTGACATGTCTGTGCTCTGACTGCAAACAAGCCAACTCCACGTGTGAGACGGACGGTGCCTGCATGGTCTCAGTCTTCAACCTGGATGGTGTCAAACACCACGTTCGGACCTGCATTCCTGAGGCAAAATTAATTCCTGCTGGGAAACCCTTCTATTGTCTGAGTTCAGAGGATCTGCGTAATACTCACTGCTGCTACTCCGATTTTTGCAACAAAATTGATTTAATGGTTCCCAGCGGTAAGTAGAGAGTCAGATAAATCATGTGTTTGAAGTGGGAGGAGAGGAGCTGTCTGTTTGGGATTGGGAATTTGGAGTTCTCGGTCCTGTTTTCACTTCTTCCTTTCAGTTGCTGCATGAACTTGAGCGCTGGGTTTATTTCCTTCATTTGTGAAGTGGAAGTAACAAACTACTTCAAATTCAAATGGGAACTTGTGTGTTCCCTTTGTCACTGAGCTGGCCCTGCCTTTATCAGCTGCTGTTGCTTCCATTCCAAAACTCCAAATCTTTTTGGTGTTGAGCACAAATAGAGGAACATTGCAGCAAAGTGTGTAGGGAGGGATGTGCCTGGGTTCACAATACATGCAGGGGAAGCAGCCCTGCCTCTGAGTGAGGGTGTGGGAAACTTCTGCTTCTCATCCCTGGGATGGAGAGGGCATGTGGTACTTCCTCACACCTCCTACTTTCTGTTTTGGGCTGGTTTTTAGTGGGTGCTGGGAGGACTGCGGAGTCATTTTCCTTGCGAGCAGTGGGGAGATCTCATGTGTGCTCAAAACAGCAAATAATTGTCTTCAGGTGCAAGTTCACTGGTTGTTGCAGGGTAAAAGGGAAAGAGGGAGCAGGGAGCCCTGGCTGACTGGTTGAGCTCAAATGGAAGGTGAACTGCAGGCTGTTCTGGAAAATCAGCCTAGAACACACTCCTGTCTCAAAGAGTGAATGAACAAGCCATAATCCCTGATCCCACAATTGCAGTTCCATCTTCATTTTGGGGTTTCAGTTGCATTTTGCCTGCCTCATGATCAGCCCCACCTTGACACTGTTGTTTGATGTGTCCCCAGGCTAAAATTCTCCAGGCTCTGAGAGAACAGTAAAACACAAGGAAATCTTCAAAGGAATGATAATTTTCTCAAAATGTCTGTTTTTCTCCTCCCTTTCCTCCCAAGGACACCTGAAAGACAATGAGCCCCCATCAAGCTGGGGTCCCGTGGAGCTGGTGGCGGTGATTGCCGGGCCCGTCTTCCTTGTGTTTGTTGTCATGATCATTGTAGTGTTTGTGTTCCATCACCACCAACGAGTCTATCACAACCGCCAGCGGCTGGACATGGAAGACCCTTCCTGTGAAATGTGCCTTTCCAAGGACAAGACCTTGCAAGATCTGGTCTATGATCTGTCCACCTCCGGCTCTGGCTCAGGTATTGCGAGGTGATGGGACGTGAGCAGTGAGACCTGCAGTTGTCTCTTGGGGTTGGTGGTTGCCACAGCTTTGTCCTGGCAGTGAGGCCACTGCCTCAGAGCCTGTTCAGAGGGTTCATGAGTAACTTAAAGGGATGTTTATATTCAGTTGTGCAGTGGTCTCTTGTCTGTTCAGGCAAGAGCAATAGTTAAACTCCTCCTTAACTGCAAGAGGATACCTCAGACAGCTGCATCTCTTCCTACACTGGCCTTGGAACGGGATTTAGGTTGGAAACAGCCATCAGCTGTGAACCTGTGTGTTGTTGGCTTTCAGAGGAGGAGGCAGGACGCCACCTGCATCAAAGCTGCAGGAAAACAGGGAAGATCCCGGTAGATCACCATTTTATGGTGCAAATAGCCCATTTCATCCCAAAGAACCCTTTTGGCCTTCCCAGGTGGGTGATGTGCAGTGTTTGCTTCTGCAGCACTTAAAAGGAAGCCCCAGAATAGGTGGAAAGTCACCATTTAGTGGTGGCTTTGAACCAGGATGGTAGTTGGGTTAAAGAATATAAGGAATTTTGCAGCAGATGGGAACTGTAGGAGAGTCCACAGAGGCAGAGAATGTCACAACCTGATATTTGACCAGGGAATCAACCTTCAGCAGCACATCTGCTGCTATATATAAAATATTTGGGATCTCTTCTATGCATACTGTGTGCAGGTGAGCTCCATGATTTCTGTAAGCAATGGCAGTGATGTTGAGACTCCTTTCTTAAGAGAAATTTGGGGGGGTTCTGCTTTTTGAGCAGAAACTAATTCATCGAGTTCCATTCTTTGCATATTGAGGCTGCAGCTCCTTTGATCTCTCATGGAGCAGAAGTTCCCCAACTGCTCTGTGCCGGATCTCTGCTTCAAAGCAGAATGCAGATGCTGCCCAAGCAGTGGCACATCCCACGCAGGAGCTGCCACCATTCCCTGCTTTGGGTCTTGCTCAGGCTCCCAGTTGTTACCAAATGTAGAGCCTGCTGGGTTTGAGGACATGGTTGGGCTTTCAGGAGGTTTTCTGCAGGGATTCATTCCTTCGATTCCTTGTCCCCAGGCTTGCCTCTGTTTGTCCAGCGGACCGTGGCTCGGACAATTGTCCTTCAGGAGATCATCGGCAAAGGCCGCTTTGGGGAGGTGTGGAGGGGCAGGTGGCGTGGAGGTGACGTGGCTGTGAAGATCTTCTCTTCACGTGAGGAACGTTCCTGGTTCAGGGAAGCAGAGATCTATCAAACAGTGATGCTGCGGCACGAGAACATCCTGGGATTTATTGCTGCGGATAACAAAGGTAAGAAGTGCCTCGGGCCCGAGTTCAGCACTGTGCAGCCAGTTCTGGTGCCTGACCACCCTTTCCAAGAAGTTCTCTCTAATCCAAACTTTCTAACCTAAATCTAACCCAATCTAAACCTTCCCTGGTGTGACTTTAGGCCATTCCCTGTGGTCCTGTTGCTTGTTGCCCCACCTGGTTCCATCCTCCTGTCGAGAGGTTGAACAGAGTGAGAAGGTCCCCCCTGAGCCTCCTTTTCTTCAGGTTGAGCCCTTCAGCTCCCTCAGCTGCTCTCCAGAAGTTCTCCAGACCCTTCCCCAGCTCCATTGCCCTGGTCATGCTCCAGCACCTCTACAACTTTCTTGTCATGGGGGAACTAAAGCTGACTAAAGTCAGCCTCTGCAGTGCCCAAGACTGACTCCAGGATTCGAGCTGTTGTCCCCCCAGTGCCTGGCACAGGGAGGAGGTCACTGCTCTGGTCCTGCTGGCCATGCTCTGGCTGATTTGGGCCATTTCTTACTTGCCTCTCTTGAGCTACAGCCTTGCACAACAGCTCTGCTCTGTCCCAAAATTGTGTGGGGTGCTCAGTGGCCATCCCTGCACTGGATCTGCCTGAGCTCCATCTCTTTCCTGTTGTAGATAATGGAACATGGACTCAGCTGTGGCTCGTCTCTGACTACCACGAGCACGGGTCTCTCTTTGACTACCTGAATCGCTACACGGTGACTATCGAGGGCATGATCAAGCTCGCCCTGTCTGCTGCCAGCGGGCTGGCCCACCTGCATATGGAGATCGTGGGCACTCAGGGTAAAAGCTAAGCTGGAAAAGGCATTGGGAATTCTTGAGGGGAGGATAAAGCAGGATTGCTGAAGGGAGCTGATGTGCTGTGCAGCAAACCCTGCCTGAGTCAGCCCGGCTTCATCTGGTGGTTATTGACCAGAAATAGAGCGATTGCTTTGGCTGGCTGCAAAGTGGGTTAACCTGGCGCTCGCTCCCAAGAGTTATATCACCATTTCACATCCCATCCTAAAATTGGCGCTGCCTGGGTGGGATGTGAGCACAGGCAGAAACAGAATCACAAACTCCTGACGTCGGTGCCTGTGCTGGGATGTGGAGTTTACATCCCTCTTGAGGCCTCTGGGTGCCACTGCATCAGTGGCGCCTCCAAAACACCATTGGAGCCTTTCCCTGCTCCCTATGAATCTAAACAGGAAAAAGTGTTGCAACAGTGGGTTTAACGCCCTGAAATCCGGTGCCAGTTCGACAAATGGATTTCCTCAGCTTGACCCTTGCTGCTTTTTGTTTTGCTCCGCTAGGAAAACCTGGGATTGCTCACAGAGACCTGAAATCCAAGAACATCCTGGTGAAGAAGAACGGCACATGTGCCATTGCTGACCTCGGGCTGGCTGTGCGGCACGACTCCGTCACAGACACCATTGACATCGCACCAAACCAAAGGGTTGGAACCAAACGGTAGGAAAATGCATCTGGAGGTGTTTGAGTGACTGGAAATGCCTGAGCTGTGGGTTGAGCACTGGGGGAATTCTCTGAATCCAGCGTTTCCCAGTGCCTTGCAGGGTCAGTTTTGTGCCTGAGTTGATGAAGGGACATTCCAGGTGTCACCACGTTGGGAGGTGTGGGGCAGCCATGTAAACCTGGCACCAGGGGCTCATGTAATGCATGACAACAAGCTTGGCCTCACTAAAGCCTTTGGGACCTTCTGCTGGGAGCCTGATGTAGTTTTGGGACATTTCTACGTCTTTTCCCAGCTTGCTGTTTTTCTTGAGTTATTTTCTTCACTCTCTTAGATCACAGGGCCCAGTTCTGTTCTGATGGTGGCTGTGCCAAGCAGAGCTTTTTCTGCTGGGAAGGAAGTGCTGTGTGGGAAAACTGATCATTTACTGTCTTCCAGAAAATTCCCTTTCAGAATAAAAACCCTTTCCCTTTCTCTGTGCAGATACATGGCCCCAGAAGTCTTGGATGAAACCATCAACATGAAGCATTTTGATTCATTTAAATGTGCCGATATCTACGCCTTGGGCTTGGTGTACTGGGAGATTGCCCGAAGGTGCAACGCAGGAGGTGACGTTCTTTGTGTGCCTGGGCCAGTGGCTGTGCTTGCTCCTGGGTCTCCCAGCCTTGGGGTTCCTGCTGATGAGGTGTTTGGGAGGTTTGAGGAGGAACAGGGCTGTGGGAGGACATGTCCCTGTGTGTTGTCACTGAGGGAGGTAACACAAGTGACCCATGACTGCTGCTAAGCCCAGCCAGAGTTGGGTCAAGGGTGTTGGTGCTCCCAGTGGTGGCTGATGTTCCTCTGGATGGATTTTCAGGAAGTGGTGGTGCTGATTGCTGGGGGACTCCCCCAGATCAGTATAAATGTCTTGGCACGTGCAGCTGCAGCATCATCCCACGTGTGACAGTGCCACTGCTGTGGAGATTCAGTGACCCTGGCGCCTTGCTGGGAGGTGTTGATCCCAGCCTGCTGACTCCGTTCCAGTTTAGGCCAGCTGCATTTTATTTCCCTGGATTTTTCTTGTTAACTCCAATTCCAGATTCTTCATTTCTGTTCTAAATAACTGCAAAGTGTTGACGCATCTCAGCAGTGAGTCATGGAGCCCAAACCTCTATCCGTCTGCCTTTAGCGAGCACAGTGGCCATGCTCCCTGTTCCCAGGAATTTCACTTTCCCTGCTCTGCCTTTCAGGTATCCATGAGGAGTATCAGCTTCCCTACTATGACCTTGTGCCCTCTGATCCTTCCATTGAGGAGATGCGGAAGGTCGTGTGTGACCAGAAATTGCGGCCAAACATCCCAAACTGGTGGCAGAGCTACGAGGTGAGGTTTCATCTCCATGTCCCCTTCCTCTCCTGGGAGAAAAGGCTGAGAGAATTGGGATTGTCCAGCCTGGAGAACAGAAGCTTTGGGGTGACCTGACTGTGGCCTTCCAGTACTTGAAGGGAGTCTGCAAGAAAGAGGGAGGGAGATTATTTACAAGGAGTGCCAGGACAAGGAGGAATGGCATGACACTGCCAGAGGGCAGGGTTAGATACTGGGAAGAAATTCTTCCCTGTGAGGGTGGTGTGGCCCTGGCCCCAGAGAAGCTGTGGCTGCCTCTTCCCTGGAGGTGTCCAAGGCCAGGCTGGACGGGGCTTGGAGCAGCCTGGGCTAGTGGAAGGTGTCTCTGCCCATGGCAGGGCATGAAATGAGACAGGATTTAGTGTCTTTTCCAACTCCAACCATTCCATGATTCCCCCATGACGAGGTAACAAGGACTGCAGGGTGCTCTCTGATTCTGGGGGATGCCGAGGCTGTGTCGGTGGCCAGGCAGAGCAGCAGCCTGGCACAACAACCTGGGGTCAGGGGAAGAGCAGAGCACTGAGCTGTGCCATTGTTTCTTTCCCAGGCACTACGGGTGATGGGCAAGATGATGAGAGAGTGCTGGTACGCCAACGGAGCAGCTCGGCTCACTGCCCTCCGCATTAAGAAAACCCTCTCCCAGCTCAGTGTCCAGGAAGATGTGAAAATTTAGGCTCTGAGCCTCAGCAGGAGGAAACTGCACAGGAGCTGCTGTGCTAGAGTAGACGTGTGATGGAGGCCTACCTCGTGTTTCAGCCCAACCTACTGCTACAACCAGACAGCGGGACCTGCAGGCTGCTAGGCAGGGGGACGGAGCCTACAGAGCCGCTCTCTTCCCTGCTTGGGTATGAAACAATCTGAAACCTTTTGTGATCACCTCCTGAGAGCGTGGAGACTTGAGAGGGACTTCACCCGAGGGATCTCAGCCATGATCGTAACTCTTTGTTCCTTTAAAGGAAATCCCTGTAAAGTTCAGCGTGCGTTGAGCACCCGTTGGCGGGGTCGGAGCCAAGCCCGGGTGCTCGGTGCCGGGAGTGGGAAGGGAAAGGGAAGGTTTTTCTTGCCGTACTCTCGAGGATTTTTCCAGGGACTGGCACGTTAATGCAGAAAAAGCAAAACAAATGGTGCTCTCTTCCAAGAGGCTGAGCCGGAACAGTTGATCAGCTTCACAAAACCGTTCTCCCTCCTTTTCTTAAGCTTGAAAAAGTCCAACTCGGCGCCCTGACGGCCGTCGGGGCGCAGCGGTGTCTGCATGCGCGAGGTGCGCGTGTCCCTGTGCCTGGTCATCTCCTCCATAGCCGTGCGGTGTCTGCCTGTGGGTGGCTCATCTCTGTCCGTGCTTCCTGTGCATGTGCAAATCTCGAGTGTCCCGTTGTGAGCTGTCGCGCTGGTGCTCTCCGTGCTGAGTCGTGAGCGTCGTGGAGCTTGGACAGGCTGCTGCAGAGCGGATCCCCGGCTCCCCGATGGGCGCCGCGGCCGTGCCCGCTCCGCTGCCGGCTGCCAGAACGTCCCATCAGGTTGCCTCACTGCCACCCCTTTCCCGTTTTTAAGACGAAACAAATAAGGAACTGAGAATCACTCCTGGAATCCAGGTTTTTTTTTGTCTTGAGCCCCTGGGGTTTGTAATTCTTGGTAGCGGGGAGCTGAGATGTGAGAGATGGAGCAGGCGCTGTGGCTGGCACGTGGGGAAATGCAGGATTCAGTTCTCCTGGGAACTCAATTCCCAGCTCCACCACCCAGGCAGATCTCTGGGGGCCTGATGATGCCGCGCTGGGGGAAGAGTGGCTGGACAGTGGCTAGGCAGAAAGGGACCTGGGGGTGCTGGTGACAGCCGGCTGAACATGAGCCAGCAGTGTGCCCTGGTGGCCAAGAAGGCCAAGGGCCCCTGGCCTGGATCAGATCTGGTGTGGCCAGCAGGAGCAGGGAGCTCATTCTCCCCCTGTGGTTGGCACTGGTGAGGCTGCACCTCGAGTTCTGGGTCCAGTTCTGGGCCCCTCAGTTTGGGAAGGACGTTGAGACGCTTGAGCGTGTCCAGAGGAGGGCAGCAGGGCTTTTTGGCACACGAGCCCTGTGAGGAACGGCTGAGGGAGCTGGGGTTGTTTAGCCTGGAGAAAAGGAGGCTCAGGGGACACCTCATCACTCTCTACAACTCCCTGACAGGTGGTTGTAGCCAGGTGGGGGTTGGGCTCTGCTCCCAGGCAACAGCTCACAGAACGAGAGGACACAGCCTTAAGTGGTGCCAGGGGGGAAGTTTGGACATCAGGAAAAAATTCTTCACTGAAAGAATGATTGGGCACTGGAATTGTCTGCCCAGGGAGGTGGTGGAGTCACCGTCCCTGGACATGTTTGGAAAAAGACTGGATATGGCACTTAGTGCCATGGTTTAGTTGATGAGGAGGTGTTAAATTAGGTCATAGGTTGGACTTGATGATCTCAAAGGTCTTTTCCAACCTGGCTCATTCTGTGATCGGAGTTCTGGGGGTGCTCTGCACCTCCCAGAGGCGCTGGGCAGGATCTGACAACAGGTGTGGGTTGGGAAATCAACATCCATCTTTTTAATATAGGTGTATAAATATCTCCTAATGTGGAAGTGGCTGTGTTTCAGTGTGGGGTGGGGGCATCTGCATGGGTTTTCTTTTGATTCAATGCCGAATCCAGGTGAGGGAGATGTGTGTGGAAGTGAGGGCTGTGGCTGCCGTGATGACTTTGGCAGTCAGGAAGAGCCGTGGTGTGGAGGTCAGGTCAGTGTCTGCAGTAGAGAACTCTGAAGCCATAACTTTTAACTGGAGTGGTTTTGATTATTATTTTTTTAATTATTATTGTTATTATTATTATTATTATTGTTGTTGTTTTCTGGGAGGGTCTGGATTTTAACTTTTTTGAATATTGTTAATTCTTTCTAAGAGCAGAAAAACAATCTCTAATTATTACCTCTTGACCTGTTGGTTTGTAAAGAAATCACTGCAAAAAAAGAAAAAAAAAAAAAAAGAAAAAAAAACCAAATGCACAGCTCGATTTACACTGGAACTGTTTCTACTCTGACCTTGCTCCTGCTCTCTAAGGTGAGGTTTCATCTCTGCTCCGGCTGCCAGGGTTAAGTCTTTATTTCAGTCCCTCTGTTCTTGCTGTCTGTGTCCCTGTCCGTGTGTCCCTCTCCCCCTGATTCCCTGTGTGTCCATGACCTTGTATAAAGTGAGGAGTGTGGTTTTTGAATCATGTTAGGAGCCGTTTTGCATCCCCCAAGGAGTTTTTGGTGGCGTGGATCTGCCGTGGGAGCAGGGATGGGGGTCCCCTGTCCCCTCCAGGCTTGTCCTGAGTCACATCCCAGCCCGAGGGTCCCAGCTGATCCCTTAAACCTGCATTTAGAGGCCAAGGGGGGCACTTGCAAGCCCTGAGGACTCCCAGGCTGTTGGAACAGGCCCCGGGGCTGCCCTGGGAGCTGGGGGAAGGACAGAGGGGACATCAGCAGCTGTAGGTACTGCAGGCTCCCTTGGCTCTCCCATCCCGGCGACTGCAGGCCGGTACCCACGGACACCGTCAGCTCCAGAGCTTGCACTGAACTCACCCCCTCCAACTGTAGCCACACTGCACCTGCCTCAGCCAAACCAAACAGCGGCCAGCGAGCGGGGAAGGGAGGGAAGGGATGAGGGAAGGGCAGAGCCCCCAGGAGCAGGATTTTAGGAAAAGCCAGTTTGAGAGAGATGGGGAAAACCAAGCGGGATCCTCGGCAGGAACGCTGACCATGTAGCATTTACACAGCACTTTCATGCAAACTGGTGCCCGGGGGTGCCGGTGCTTGCCGAGCTGACGGAGCACGTGGGAGTTGCTGCCTGCCCCCAAAACTTGCAGCAGCTCTGGGAAAAAGCAGCATTCCAGGCAGTTCCAAGGGGAGCCCGGTGCAGGACAAGGAGGGGGTCCATCAGCGGTACGTGGCTGCAGGACAGAACTCTTGGTACTTCTCTGCCCCTTTGATTTGTTTGGTTTTGTACATTTTCTTAGCAAAGGACTGTAAGAAAATAGCCACTTAGCCACTTTACCTCTTCAGTATGCAAATGTACATACGGTGTAAGATAGGAAATCTTTTGTTTAATATAAAACCAGGCTGTCGATTTCTGCTGTACATTATTAAAAGTTTGTTTTATTCATGTGAGGTGTTGCAGTCTCAGTTCACTGGGAGGGGTGGGAGTTGCAGGGCACAGCTCAGTCCCTCAGAGAGGGCTCTGGGGTGTGGGGAGGGGGGGGCTCGTCCCTCACAGCTAAAATAATCTCTTCAGGAATCCTGGTCAAAACATTTTAATGTTGAATATTCCCATTTTTAGTGAAGATGCAGCTTCTAACACCCGCCAAGCACTGCCAGCATAGTGGAGGTGAGATGGAGAGGAGGCAGGGGGGATTTTCCACCCATGCAGGGATGAGCAGCTGAACTTGGGGCTGCCGCTCTGGGGACAGGCACAGAGCAGGAGGGGTTGAATAAATACCCTGGAGATCCCCTCCGAGCATCCCTGGGGGTGGGGTGGGTACAGTGGGCACCTCCCTGGAGCATCCCTGAGTCTCCACATGGACCCACAGCTTCAAGGACAGATAAATCCTGCAGAAAACTACCCCTTGTGCCCCTACAAAAAATCCTGTTTGCTCCGAGGGTAAATAAATGGTGCTGTGTGAACTGCCCCTCTACTAATTCCTTAATTAAAGGCTCCTGCAAACGAGCCTGGTGTGAGCGGATCAAGGGGAAAATCTGCCGAGGCCTGGGGTCCCCCCGGGCTCAGACAAGGTGGGGAGGGGGAGGCACCATCTGGGCTCATCCTTCCTCATTCCCAGCTTTGTCTGAAGCTCCTGCTGTAGTCCCAGGAAAATCCAGCCCCATCCTGGAAACGTGGGCAGCAGTGAGATGAGAGGATGGAGAATTTTTAAGCAAAACCTGTCTGCTCCTCTAGGAAATGGGATGGGAAAACAGTCTGGGGTGGCTGCAGCCGAGGGGCCAAGTCGTTACCGGTTTTTGGGAACAAGATGGGGTGTTCCTCTTCATTCCTGGTGGTTTGGTGACTCACAATCGGTGGTGGGCTCAATCCCATCCTTTCCCCAGCACTTCCAGCCCGGAGCAGCTCTGCTCCTGGAGCAAATTTGTCTCCTGGTAACCCCAGGCCAGGCTGTGGGCGGGAGCTTTGGGTGGAACGCCAGCGGGGTTGTTACGATCTTCATTTTTTTTGGCAAATTTTAAACAAACACTTGGGCAAAACTCTCAACTCCAGCTGGAAAATTCCCGCTGCCTCCCTCCGTGGCGCAACGAGGAGCTGCCCGAGCCTCGCGCCGCGTCCGCAGCAGCCACCGCGGCTGCCTCCGGGAATTGTTCCTCCCTCCGTGTCCCTGCTCGGTGCAGCGCAGATCGTGCAGGAACAGTTGAAATCCCCCCTGCTGCCCCCGCTGGGAGCCGGGCCGGGGGCTGTGGCCACCCCTGCCCCTACTCCTGCCTCCCATTAAATCCCAAATGCGGCTTTGGCGGCGGGTGCTGGCCTGGGGGTGATGTGGTGGCAGCTGTCGGGGAGCAGCAGAGCCCGGCATTGCTTCTGCTCCTGGAAACCCACGGCTTTCTCCCCAAATCACCCCTGAGGTGATCCCCGGGAACTCTCCTCGGCACCCCACGGTGCCTCCTGTGACATTCCCAGCAGCAGCATCCCATCCTGCAGCTCCCCGCAGGAGCAGCCAGACCTGAGCCCCGTGGTGTCCCTGAGGCTGCGCCCACGCAGGACCCTCCCTCTGGACCCCCAGGCTGGACTCCCGTGGGATCCCTTGCAGAACTTCACGAAGGACCCTCCCCTTGGACCCGCAGCCCGCACCCCCCGGGTCCCTGAGCAGGACCCGGCGCTGAACCCCCCTGCTGGACCCCCAGAGGGTCACGGAGCAGGACCCCAGGCGGAACCTCCCCACGGGATCCCCAGGCAGGAACCCGCGTAGGACCGTCCTGAGGGACCGCACCCAACGGACCCCCCCTCTGGACCTCCATGGGGTCCCGGGCAGGACCCTCACCCTGGACCCCTCCTCTGGACCTCCATGGGGTCCCGGGCAGGACCCTCACCCTGGACCCCTCCTCTGGACCTCCATGGGGTCCCGGGCAGGACCCTCACCCTGGACCCCCGCCCGGACCTCCACGTGGTCCCGGCTCAGGGTCCGGAGNAGGACGCCGGGTCTCGTTTGGGGGGGGGGTCACGGAGCACCCCGAGTCTGGTTGGGTGGAACACGGGGCCCCTGGAAAAGCCCCTCTGGTGGCGCTGGGACCGCCACCGCCCTGCCGCTGCCCCGGCCCCGTGGTGCTTCCTGAGCGCTGTGGGAAGCGAAAGCAGAGCCGACATCCGGAGCAGAAGTGGCCTCAAGGCTGCACTGCCACAGCCCAGATCTGCACGGTGGCCTGGCTCCTGCTCACCAGCCAAGGCCACCACCAGAAGTGTCCCTGAGGGGTCCAGGACGTTCCGCGTCACCTTCCCGTCCCTGCGGTGACGCGGGGCCGCTTTCCCTTTGGTGAACGCGCCCAGCCGCGCTGGTTTTGGGCCCGTGGATGTGTTTGGGATGGTCGGTCAGTGCCTGGTGACACCTGCGGGGCTGGGGACAGAGCCCAGAGCGAGCCGCTGGCACCCGGCTGCCACCGACACCTGCCACGTGCTGCTCCCAAGGGACAGCGAATGGTGACGCTGCGCTGCCAGAGCCCAGCAGCCACAGAGGGGCATTTGGGGACAGCCCTGTCACCTCCTGCCCTGCGGTGAGGGTCCTGTCTTGCCCGGCCAGTCCCTCCACCCACCCACGCCTCTGCGCCTGCCACAACAGGGACATTGTCTGGGCCGGGGGGGCGGATTTCGCA